GCCAAGGAAGGCAAGCTCCTATTGTTTATCTTGGCCCTCAGATATTTAGGCAGATCCTGTTTATGTACACAGAGGTTCAATTTAGCTATCACTATTAATACCTGTTGATAGTCTTATCCTTCATGAATATGTGCAAACTTTGGAAAGCCATCTAACCTGGTGGCCATCACCACATCTTGTGGCAGCAAATAGTTTATGTGGGCCTTCTTAAATGTCTAGCTGTGGTTTCAAGAGGATGGATTTGTTTCCTCTAATCGGTCAGCAAGCAGTAAGAGCAGCTATGTGGTAGGAAACAAACAAGATAATTTGAAGGCAAAAAAGAAAAAGAAAAGAAAAACCCACCCTACCAGGCATCTCTCTCTCACTGGAGATGACTCTCTAATTTTTTTTTCTTTTTGGAAACATGTTGCATATAGCCAGAGTTGCTTTCTAAAGGATGTATGTTTGCTAGCCCCTGCCAGAAATGAGCTTAGCGTAAATGAGCTATTAAACTTGGACATCCTGATGAAAAAATATTTACAGAGGAAACTCCTTAAACGGATATGTGCCAGTGGAATAACCCTCATTACAGAGTACAAGTCTGGGGGCTGACTACGTAAGTAAACTTGGGTGGTGCCCTCACTTTCCACAACCGATTGAGCAAATCTTTGCCAACGACATTTGCACAAGGCTAGTAATGGATACACAGATTCCATGGAAGGGAGCAGAGCCCATTGATGCTGCCTAAGGACGTGGGCAAGCAGCAATATAAATTTTGCAGTGTTAAGCTCAGTACCCTTCAACTCCTCCTAGAACCACAAAAACACAAAGTGGGCTTCCTGAATAGGAGGCACCGGATTTCTGCTAATGGAAGAAACATAATCTTCTCCTTAACCAGTCCCAGGCTCTGTGTTGGTAAGATCATGCATGGCCTGATCCTAAGAAGCAGAATGCCAAACTAACCATTTGTCTCATTGAGTAAGTGAAGATCAAAAGAATCACTACCTTTTATTGGGTGTAGGATTCCTTATTGAGAGCCAGCATGATGCAGTGGCTTGAGTGTTAGACTATCAATCTGGAGACCAGGGTTTGAATCCCCGTTTAGCCATAGAATTCCACTAGGTGACCTTGGGCAATACATACTCTCTCAGCCTCAGAGGAAGACTAGGGCAAATCCCCTCTGAACCAATCTTGCCAAAAAAACCTTGCATGATAGATTTGCCTTGGGGTCATCATAAATCGGAAATGACTCAAAGGCACAGAACAAAAAGGATACCTTATTAAGATAAGTAAAAATATAAGGAATGCAAAGAAGGCTAAGAGGGAGCAGAAGAAATGTATATATAAGGTTTTGAAAAAACAGTAATACTATTCCAAATTACATGGTTGCAATTAATTTATTTTATTGTTTATAAAGGCCTCAGTCCAGTTATTCAACCCAACTAGAGTAAATGCACTGACTTATTTGAACTTACTGACTTACGTCCCCAGTGATTCAGTGCATTTACTATAATTGGGATTAACAGCTGAATGTACATCTACTAAACTAAAGAATGTAATATTTTTTCTGGCTTTTACATTTGTATAAATGTTTCTCTTCTTTATAAAGCTTGACAGTTCTACCTGTCAGTCACAAATTTAGTATTGAAAGTCAAAAAAATGGTAAATCGAACTTGAGGGTAAATTTGAAGGTGTGATCTGTTTACAGACAGTTGATAGGAATAGACTGGGCATTTCATATCTGTATCAGTGTTATATTTTGTGTAATTGCTTTTATTACCATTACTGTAATCAAAAGCCTATCTTACAAGTTGAAAATCAAATTGTAGATTTTTTTGCTCTTGGAATTAAAGTAATTTCCTTTGCTGAATTACTTAGTTTTAAGTTACAGGAGGGTACCTGGAGAGGTGGTAGAATCTCTTTCTCAGGACAACTTCAAAAAAGACTGAACAAAAAGAGATTGGGAATACTATTTCCTGCACTGAGCAGAAGGTTGAACTTGATGGCCTACTGGGCCCTGTCCACCTCTATGATTCTTTTTACCTACAGCTCCCAGAATGTCCCAACTACCATGGCCACTAATAATGCTGGAAGTGAGATTCTGGAAACTGAAGCCCAAACAGTATCCTTTTCAAGCTAAGGAAATGATCTTAGCTGATGACCTACAACATCTGGTGTTTTCAAAGACAAGAATAATTACAGTATTTTCTGGCATATAAGACTACTTTTTAACCCAGGA